CCCCAAAACCCCAAAACCCCAAAACCCCATGATACATAATACTTAGGTTTGATAATACCGAATAAAAATTAATAAAATATTTTAGATTTTTATGAATATAATTCATATAGTTACTTCTTTGTTAATCGGTTCTCTACACATCGGACAACTGTTATTGCCAGCCTTGATCCAACTTTCAATGCATGAACTGTGATATAGATGCTTCTCGTTACATTTTAGTTTGACTATTTCCTCCTGCTCTGAATAATTATTCCAGCATATAGCACATTCTTCAGCATCTGAGAAAAGTTGATAGTTGTATTTAGTCTTGGCAAGGGATCTCAATATCTTAACAGAGCCAATTTACTTTCTCTGGTTCTTCTGGCATTAACCAATAAACAGACACAACAAGATAGCTACAATTATCCCATATAAGACTAGCTAGAAGTATCCTATAATAAGTAAAGCTAGCATGCAGTAAGATAGAATAGGCAGTTTTTCAAAGCATTGGTTTGAGTCATTGAAGATCATATTTCCATAGATGATCCAAATACATTGCGATCCTTCAATTACAACCATCATTGCTATTTTAGAGCATTTCTTAAGTCCTCTCCTAGTATTGAAGTATGGAATATCTTCCATCTTATCTAGAATATGGGCTGAACCTAGCTAGGCGAATTGTATTCCGAAGTAAAATAGAAGCCAGGACTAAATAGGGATACCACAGTCCTGATTTCCGTGAAGTAGAACAATTACTATAGCACCAATATTCATATACAAATCACATTATCTCTTCCTCTGAATCTATTCAATTCTATCATTTCCCTCCTAAACTTCCCTTCGTAATTCCCTGATTTCTTGTAATGGATTACTGGCAATATTTTCGATTCCATTATGCTAGCTTTCAATATCAACAGAATTAAAAACGTCATTTTGAACTTATAATCCTTAACTTCTATCCTCTGATGCTGGCGTTTATAACCCTTTTCTCTGCATTCTTTCATGATGAGCTTACTTAAGCTTATCTGATATATTATCTGGTCCTGAGATCAACTGACTCTAATCCTCCTGCAAACTCATTGCAATGGCTTAGTTAATCTCTTCTTATTCTCTCACAGCCTCCATGAGTTCCTCCTCGGAATGATTTTAATTCATTTCTTATTACTCCTCAATAAAATTAATTATCTCAACAACTTAATGAGTTACTATTTCAGACAAGATGCAATGAAGTGGGGTTTTGGGGTTTTGGGGTTTTGGGG